CCCCCKCCCGAGGRTGCTCTCTCTCTTGCRAGVYTGCCTGTTTTKCAMRMCWMAGGGCAGGGATGCGAGCSTACGCTCACAGTTGAATTCTYCKGTAGCAAACTACTGGAAGCGAGAGRYKYCTRGCATCGCTTCCCHAGCWKGSTCCGAAYKCKVGCKRMRTWVCKKSKGAGYSWGCWSRCTCMSMMGSWAYDYMGCSMGMRTTCSGAGCMWGCTWGGGAAGCGATGCYAGRMRACTCTCYCTTCCAGTAGTTTGCTACGGCAGAATTCAACTGTGAGCYTAVGCTRYCATCCCTGCCCTCTGCAATGGAAAACAGGCACGCTAGCAAGAGAGAGAGCAGCCTCGGGGGGAAAAAAGGCGGGGCTTCGGAGCAAGCCCGAGCGCAAGCTTCCTGTAGTTTGCTGTGGCACGAGCGTATGCTCGCAACGCTGCCCTAGCAAAGGGAAAGAGGCGGAGCATCGCTCGTGCTGGCTTAGTTTGCTCTCGCAAAATCCTAGTTTGCTACGGCTCTAAGAGTCGCTTCGTGGTCTTCAGGAACTTAAGGCAAACTGCATGTGGCTTCAAAGCTGTGACCCACCCCCTCCGTGCTTTGTCTGAACAAATGGTGTTACCGTTTTTAATGTTTATTGTTATTGCTTTAAAAAAATTGTTTGCTTTATGAGTTTTATTGTTGTATTTGTTACGTTGTTGTTTTAGTGAGACTCATGCGCAACTGCGACCGTACCTCGCGAAGGCTGATCTGTCCGGGGTGGTCCATGCCTTGGTCACCTCTAGATTGGACTACTGTAATGCGCTCTACGTGGGGCTGTCCTTGAAAACGGCTCGGAAATTTCAACTGATCCAACGGACAGCGGCCAGGATGTTAACTGGTGCTCCTTACAGAGAGAGGTCAAGCCTCCTGTTCAAGGAGCTCCACTGGCTGCCGTTTATTTACCGAGCCCAATTTAAGGTGCAGGTGCTCACCTACAAAGCCCTAAACGGTTTGGGACCATCCTACCTGCGTGACCGCATCTCCGTTTACGAACCCACACGTTCACTTCGGTCATCTGGAGAGGCCTTGCTCGTGATCCCGCCTGCGTCGCAAGCGCGCTTGGTGGGGACACGAGACAGGGCCTTTTCCGTGGTGGCCCCCCGACTCTGGAACACCCTCCCCAAAGATCTTAGACAGGCCCCTACGTTGGCAGTCTTCAGAAAGAACTTGAAGACCTGGCTGTTCCAATGTGCCTTCTCAGATTAGGAACCTCCAATACCAAGTCCTAGAAGCACTTTAGTAGAATTAAGATTGCCGCACACCGCACACTGCACTTGCCCTATAATCCTTACATATCACCTGTCACATCAGCACTTCTAACCTTGTACCCATTACTCTGGCCCGGCCCAGTTTTATTGTGTCTTGGTGTTTTGTTTATTGTTTGTTATTTATTCTGCTTAACTGTTTTTAATTTGCTTTAGGTATTGTATTGTTATGTTGTGTTTTGAGGCCTTGGCCTTTGTAAGCCGCATCGAGTCCTTCGAGAGATGTTAGCGGGGAATAAATAAAGATAATAATAATAATAATAATAATAATAATAATAATAATAAATGTCTGTGTGGCACAAAAAGAAATTCCTCTTTCCTGACTTAAAATATTATGAAGACAAGAGGACTAAAAGTAAGGGAGATACAGCTCTCCCATGAATTTATTGTTTTAATTTTGTTGTTGCTGCATTTTAATTAATTTCTGTGAGCTACCTTTGGTTCTGCTTCAGGAGAAAGGTGGCATGTAATTGAAATAAATTTATTTATTTATCATGTCAGAAGCGAACTCAGGGTACAGTTGTAATGTATTTAAAAAACACAAACAAGGTACTAAATGTCCTTTGACCAGTATCTGTCCCCTTGGAGTGCCTCTGGTGTTGCTGCAAGAAGGTCCTCTATGGTGCATGTGGCGGGGCTCAGGTTGCATTGCAGCAGGTGGTCAGTGGTTTGCTCTTCTCCACACTCGCATGTCGTGGATTCAACTTTGTGGCTCTGTATCTCGTGGTGCCAGAGCACAGTCTGTTCATAGCATTCCCAGTTTCCTGTGTGCCCAGGAGGAAGTCTTTCACCTGGTCTCAGCCACTGATTGAGGTTCTGGGTTTGAGCCTGCCACTTTTGGAATCTTGCTTGCTGAGGTGTTCCAGCGAGTGTCTCTGTAGATCTTAGGAAGCTATTTCTTGATTTGAGGCATTGGCATGCTGGCTGATACCCAAACAGGGGATGAGCTGGAGATGTCTCTGCCTTGGTCCTTTCACTATTGGCTGCTACTTCCCGGCGGATGTCAGGTGGTGCGATACCGGCTAAGCAGTGTAATTTCTCCAGTGGTGTAGGGCGCAGACACCCCGTGATAATGTGGCATGTCTCATTAAGGGCCACATCCACTTTTAGCGTGGTGAGATGTGTCCCACACTGGGCATGCATACTCGGCAGCAGAGTAGCATAGCGTAAGGACAGATGTCTTCACTGTGTCTGGTTGTGATCCCCAGGTTGTGCCAGTCAGCTTCATATGATATTATTTCTAGCGCCCAGTTTCTGCTTGACAACCAAGTAGTGCTCCTTGTAAGTCAGAGCACGGTCCAGAGTGACTCCTCCGAGGTGTTTGCAATGCTCCAGTGCAGGGGTCGGGAACCTTTGGCCCTCCAGCTGTGGTGGACTTCAACTCCCACAATTCCTTGAGGCTCGG